AGAAACCCAGGGTGCATGGGTGATGCAGAGGAAGCTGCCAAGTCACCCAATGTGAAGCTCAACACTGCTTTGCAAGTTGATGTGTGCCCTTTCACACACATCTTTGGCAAAGACAAAGATGTCAGGGTTTAGTTTCTAAATCAGTAACTCTTGACAAGACCTCTTTATGAACTGACAGCAAGAGAACTTAGGAGCAGCTTAGGGTTGGCAAGTGTAGGAGCCAAGAAGAGAAGGGCTGATGGGTATGTCATGAACACTGACAACTGGATGGTCGTGGAGCTGACCAAGGACTGCCAGATACAAAAGACATCACCTGCTGGACTTGGCCCAAACACCAGCCCCCTCCTGTCCCTCCTCAACCACTCAACCACAGCCTGCACACACCCACAGCTGCCAGGGCCAACTGGCTGTTTCTCTTCTCTTTTCTGCCTGGGGGCGAAGGAAGAAGGACAGGGAGGGCATTTGCCTTCGGGCCAGAGGGAAGGGGAAGGAGATCCCTCCAAATCCATCCCTGGCAGGATGGGGGCTGGAGGAGACATTGGGGGACCCCCAAGAATATTTTCGAGGGGAAGAAAGGATGGGGGCACCCACAGGGGGTTGGGGGGGGAGGGACCCAGGAATCTCGTGGTGGGACACTGGGGAGTTCCCAGTAGTTTCTTGGGGGGGTGGACCCCCAGCAGTCCGGGGTGGAAAAATGGACGGAGGAATCCGCCGTAAAGGGTGGGTGACACCCAAAAGACTCTAGGAGGGGGTCGGGAAGGACCCCGGAGTCCTGAAGAGTGTTTGGGGGTCCCCAGGAGGGAGTCTGGGGGTCTGAGGTGGTCCCAGGAGATTTTCAAGGGTTAAGGGGATGCACAGGAGATTTGGGGGACGAGGGGGAAAGGCGGAGGGTCCCCAGCATTCTTGGGGGGATCTGGGCAGTTCCCGAGAGTCTTGGGGGAGATTCGGAGGGGTCACCAGGAGCCCCCGGACCCCCTGAACTCACCCCACACCACCATGGCCTCGTTGGGGCCGCACGTGAAAAACAGCGCGGCGGGGGGAGACCCTGGGGCCGGGATCGATCGGGACCAATCGGGTTCAATCCCGATCCTCCCCTCCCCCGCCATCACCGCCCCGCTCCCGGCAGCCCCCGCGGAAGTTTCGACGGTCTATTGGGTGACTCACCGGCACAAGGACAGGGGCCCAGCAGAATTTGGCAATGACGTCATTCCAGCAGAGCCGTTCTATTGGCTGCGGCCCACGAGGGAGCCCCAAAACCTGTTCATGGCTTGGGGGGAAAGGACAGCCAGCACGGCCGGGAACGGGGGTGCAGAGGGTGTTCAAGTACCCAGGAAAGGGGTAAAAAACTTTCCCCTCTCCCTCCCAGTGCCCTCTCAGCCCATCCCAGTGTCTCCCCTCTCTCCCAGCGCCCCCTCAGCCCATCCCAGTGTCTCTCCCAGTGCCCCCTCGACCCATCCCAGTCTCTCCCCTGCTCTCCCAGTGCCCCCTCAGCCCATCCCAGTCTCTCCCCTGCTCTCCCAGTGCCCCCATCCATCGAGGTCCCAGCCCGGCCCTGCCCCCTGCTCTGCTCCGGCCTGGATTTCTCCCCTGCAGGGGCAGCTGAGGTGGCTCCAGGGCGAGCGGGAGCTTTCAGGGCAGGGGGTGGCTCCTGACATGCTGCTGGAACCGCCCCTGTCTGGGCGGGCCCGTCAACCTGGGGCACCTCCTCACCCGAGCCTGGGGGACGGGCCGGCAACTGGGAGGGGCTTTGGGAAGGAATGGGGAGGCTGAGAAGGGCTTGGAGGTCGTGGGGGTAACTGGGAAGGTGTTTGGGGGAGTTTGGGGGTTTGGGAGGGAGGTTGGGGAGATTGGGGCAGCTGTGAGGGGTTTTGGGGAATCGTCGGGGATGTGGGAAGGAACTGGGAGAGAGTTTGGGGGCATACTCAAGGGGAAGGGGGCAACTAGGAGAGGGTTTGAAAGGTCCTGGGAGGGCTGGAGGTAACTGGGAGGGGTTTGGGGGCATCTTGTGGGTTTTTGTGGGTCTGGGAGGCAGTCTGGGGGCCTCGGAGGGTTTAAGGGGAAGTTGGGAGTGTCCTGTGGGACCGGGATGGGATTTGAGGGTTCCTGGAGGGGCTGGGAGGGCTTTATGCCTTTATACTGCGGGCATTGTCTAGTATTGATGGGGGTAATCCGTGAGTTGACTGTTTCATAATCATCCAAATTTTAACAAGACTTTGAAGGTGGTCAACCTCAGTTTGAAGCAGCTCATTTTTAGCAACAAATTTATCCGATTTTTCTCCTGTTTCCCTCTCAAAGGCTAACGATGACTTCAACACCACATTTTCTGATTTCAAAACAGTAGACTCAACATCAGAAATCCATTCATGACTTCCCTGTCACCACTCCATCCGAATGTCTGTGCACTCACTGTGGCCTGAGAGAAACCTGCCTGTTTGCAGCGCACTGACTGGGCAACTTTTCTTTTTGCAGGTGGAAAAGGGCAGATAAAGAAAAACAGATGGGTCCAGCAGAAGTGATGCTGCTTCTGTCAAAAGCAGAGCAGAGGCCGAAAGCACTTTAGGAAGTTGCTTACAGAAGCACTTGTGCATTCCAAGTTACAGCTCAGGAGTCTCAGTGACTTGTCCAACATGGGAGCTCCTTTTCCATTTCTCAACCCCCAGATTCCTCAGGAGTAGGAAACTGAAAACACTGACTCAGAAAAGCTCCATTCCTTCCTAATAATTGTGCTTTGTCCTTCCCATTTGACAGTGCTCTTGGAAATGTGCTGGTGTGATCTGGATCTGGGAGCAGCCCTGACCTCCCACAGCCCTGACCACACACACCTCATCCAACGGCAGGAAGAACCTGCCTGGCTCCTGCTGGGGTTCTCACCACCCACCGACAGCTTCTCCCTGCAGAGGGGTGGGCAACTACCCAGGCAGGATGAGACCTGACCCCAGCAGGCAGCAAAGTCCCTGCCCTGGCACAAAGAACCCCGGAGCACAGGGACCCTGCTCTGCAGGACAGCCCCGGGCATCCCTGGCTGCACCCCCACCTTCCCAGCCCGCAGCCATCCCTGGGAGAAGGAGCCCACCTGCGCTGTCCCTCTGACGGTGCTGCAGGGAAGGCCTGCCCTGGAGAACATCCTCCTCCGGCGCAACAGAGAAACTGGGAGAGTCCTGACAGATGTGCAAGGCTGTGGGATGTGGTAGCTTTAGGAGATTCCTCCAGGAACACAAGCGACATTGCCCTGCACCTGTAGACTCACTCTGCAGAGGAGTGTGAAGTTGTGTCCCCAAGTTGTGTCTCAGCTGAACACCTCCCATCTTTCTGCTGCCTTTAACCTCCCTTTGCCTTTCTTCTCTTCTCTCGTGCCTACAGGCAGTGCCCTCGGCCCTGCTGGGCTGTGCAGAGGAGCTGCTCCTGGGCAGAGCTGTCTCTCTGCAGTGCTGCCCGCTTGCCAGGATTTCCCTGTGTGCCAGGAGCCCGGCCCAGCTGAGCAGCACAGCAAGAGCCAAAGGCAGCCCTTTCTCTGCCCCTCTGGGTTCCCCGCAGGTGTCCCTGGGGCTCCAGGGGAACCTGCTGTGGAACAGACTGAAGGAAACAATGATGTTCCCTCTTCTCACCTCTTCAGTGACACTTCTTTCCAGCAGTGACACTTCTTTCCAGCAGTGACATTTCTCCTCTTAGAAAATTACCAGGGTATGATGATCACCTTTTCTAGTTTCATCATTACACAGGACACCAGGAGGGTGACAGTAAAGGATCTGGTAACTCCCTGGCACAGTGGGGGTTTTCCTGGAGTCACACAGAGAAATGTGTCAGGGCTCTGAGAGGTGTCCAACCCTGAGCTGGACTGATGCACACACGGGGGTGTTCAGAGACACGAGTCCTTCCCTGGCACACACACAGGCAGTTCATTGCAGCAGGGGCAGTGTCTCCCTGGGCTCCTGCTACCACTCCCAGAGCCTGGAGCCACCTCAGCCCTGTAATGCTCCCACCCTGCCCACTCCTACACTTCAGATGAACATTGGGGTTTTCTAGTCACTGGAACTGCCCAGACCAGCCCCTCCCTGGTCCCCCCATCTCCCTGCCCCGCCCCAGCCCAGCAGAGCAGCACAGTCGTTTCTGGTCCTGCAGCAAGAAAGGGAGGCAATAGAGGACAGGGACAGTGACTGCATGTCTGGACTGCTCAGGAGATCATCAGCTCAGGCGGCAGCTCCTGCAGCCCCAGGGCCAGACCCTCTTCCCAGTGGCCCAGGCAGCTGCTGCCAAGTGGGCACAAGCTCTGCTGCCCAGGAGGGTCCTGTAGTGAAGGGCTTTGCAGATGGCCACGTAGCGTCATAGGACATGATGGTGAGAAGGGCAAGCTCCGCTGTGATCAAGAAGAAAAGCAAAAAACACCTGTGCAGCTCATCCTGAGTAGGACATGCCCCTGGTGTTCCAGAGGGAATTGGCCATGGCTTTGGGGAGAGTGGTGCAGATGCAGCCCGGGTGTGTGAGGGAGAGGTGGAGCAGGAAGAAGTCCCTGGGGGGTGTGCAGGTGGTGGTGGCAGGCTACGGCGCTGAGGATGAGGCCGTTGCCCAGGAGGGCAGCCAGGGAGATGCCCAGGAAGAAGCAGAAGTGCAAGAGCTGCATCAGCAGGAGGAGGAAGTGGGGGATGGAGCTGCTGTTGGACATGAGCTTCCTCCGGGCATCAGGAAATGTCCAAGGAGGAAAAGGCAGTGAAAACTTTGGGACAGGTTTCCTAGATCAAACCCATGAATTCCTCTGAGCATCTACCCTCATCCCAAGTATCTGCAGTCACACATATATAGATTCTGGACTGTAGAAGACAGGCTTAGCATGACTTTAAGATGATTTCTTCTCAATTTTTTGATTTATTTTTCTACTGCCAGGTCTGAGAGGGGCATCGTGGAACCAAAGGAACCCTGAGACATTTCAGAATCCCACATGTGTTGGGTCTGTCTGAGCTGGAGTTCATTTTCTCACTGCAGGCGTCACAGGGCTGTGCTTTGCATTGGGAGCTACAAAGGGGTTAATCACACCAGTGCTTTGGCAACTGCTGAGCAGGGCTGGTGCAGCATCTGCATTGTCGGCTTCGTCCCCTGAATCGGGGGCAAGATCATGGGAGGCGATACAGACAGGTCAGTTGAGCCAAATGGACCAAAGGGACATTGCAGAATATATGGCGTCAGCTCAGCTACAAGAGCTCAGGAAAGGAACAGGAAAGGGGGAAAATCCATTTTTTTACAATACATGCCTTCTGAGCGGCTTCTCTGTGTGGTGAAGCCCTGCTTCCCATGAAGTGGCCAGGTATCGCTGCTGACAGGAAGTAGAGAGAAAATCTTTTTATTTTCCTCTTCACTTATGCATGCGCAAACTTTGGCTTTTGCTTTAGTAAAGTGCCTGATCTCAAGGTAGAAATAATTTTCCATCTTATTCTGTCTCTTCTGTCTGGCTGGGAAGGGCAGCAATAGAGCAGCTTGGTGGGCACCTGGCATCCAGGTAAGGTCAACCCACTGCAACATTGCAGGGTCTCATGGAACCAAAGGACTGCTGGGAGACTGGGGGAACTCACGGAATCAAGTGGCCGTCGTGGCACTGCCCTGCATCATAGAAGCAAATGTTCCCTGGGAAACTACAGAAACCAGGGACTTAAGGGACATCATTGGGATGTGCGGGACCTCATGGAATTAAACAAACCGTGGGATATCTTTGGAACTTCATGGAATCAAAGGGATAAAACAAAAGAATTAAACCCCATGACCAGAAACCATTGGATCGAACATTTCTTTAATATGCCAGCTGGGGATTCATGGGGGTACTCTGCCATGCATGAATCAAAGAATCAGTATAAATTTCGGAGTATAAATACAGTGATACTTGAAAGACCCTCCCCTTCACAAGCAGTCCAAAATTCTCTTATGATTTTAGGGTCAAATAGCCTCTTGGATTTTATTCGTGGAGCAAGACTGCCATCTAGAGTCCATTTCTTCTGGAGGGGCAGTCATTTTCACAGAGTGGTCTTCTCTCTTAGCAGAGCCTCGCAGTCATCTTTGATTCAGATCTATCCGACCCATCTAATTAGCAGGCCTAAAGCGTCTCTGATTGATCTATCCGACCCCTAACCCCTAAACTAAATGCTTTAGGACCAGCTAAGACGTGTCTTAGAACTTCCCATTTGCTTAAACAATGTATAATTGACTTTCTTCTTAACAGAACAATCTCTTATTAAACAAGTTTTCTGAGGCCTGTAAGCTAATTTCTTGAAGATGGGCATATGATACACTCTCTATTAGTTTCCATGTATCATCTACATTCTCTCTCCTACAACTAATTGTAGTCTTAAAAGAAAAGAAAAGACTGCTACCATGCCAAGAAAGCAAACCCCTTTGTTGATTAGGATTTTTATCTAAGAAAAACTTCTGATTTACGAAGCCATTAAGGATGGAGATCCTCTCTCATTTCAGTGCCATTGTGACAATATGGGGCCTCATGTAACACATGGAACACAGAACACTGCACATTCCCAAGCAATCAAGGGGCCATTGTAACACTCCAGGGCCTCATGGAAGACGGAGGCCCCGCAGAGAGACCTCAAATCAGAGGTTTGGGCAATCCTCAACCAGAGGAAGTTCAACAAGGGGAAGTGCCAGATTCTGTCCCTGTGATGGGGCAACCCCGAATGTCCGGACAGATTGGGAATGATATTCTGCATAGCAGCGCTGGAAAATGGCCTCTGGGGTCCTGGTGGATGGCCAGTTGGCCAAGAGTCAGTGGTGCTCTGGCGGGGGCTCACTGCTCGGTCACAGAAGGGTTTTCAGACACACGAGTCCTTCGCTTGCACACAGACACAGACAGTTCATGGCAGCAGGGGCAGTATCTCCTGGGGTTCCTGCTGCCACGCCAGGAGCCTGGATGCACCTAAGCCCTTGTGGGGTGCCACCTGCTCTGCCACTATCTGAGATGCCCCACTGCCTGAGAGATGGAAACGCGGAGCTCTGTCCAAGAGAAGCACATCCCAGAGCTGCACGCATGGGCTTTGCCAGGATTTAGAACTGTAAATGCAATGTGACACCGAGACACTCTTTGTCCCACATAACTTCAAGGTCTCCCGAGGAGGTTGATGGCAATTGTTCTTGCTCAGGGTCATCTCCCCACACCAACAGCAGGTGTGTGCTCAAGACTTGTCTGTGCAATGCAAACAGATACACCCTTTCTAATTCTTCGGTCTCTCCAAAGAAGGCAAAAGAATCTCTGTGTGCCGGGTGAGAAGCCAGTGCTGGAAGTTGTGGTTCTATTGTGAGTGCCAAGAGGGGATGGCAGGTCTGTGATGAATGCCCTGAGGAGATGACCTGGGTTTTCCAGTGCACATGGCAATAGATCACACCTGCTTTGGTGGTCATTTATGTCCTTCGGAGGTGACAGAGATGGGAAAGAGAATGAAATTTTTGAATGTGCCTCTGAGTGCCCCTCAACCTGCTGCAAATGTGCAGATTCCAGTACATCCAGTTCAGGTGTGAGAGGCTGTTCCCTGGTCCTCTGAGCAAGAAGAGCTGGACGAGGGACACAGCAGAACTCGCTTACTGAGCCTGCATCTCCATGAATCCCAAAGCAAGTGCGAGGGGTTATGCCACGTCCGAGTTTTCTCAGGGGAAGGTGTTTCTCCCATGCACTGCCTCCCCGTGGCACTGGGGCCACAGCCCCCGACAAAACCACAAGTGGTCTTTGTCCTAGCAAAAGTGCTGCTGCTGCTAGCAGGAGGGAGAGGAAGGCAGAGGAGGCGGAGAGGAGGCGGCCCACCAGGAACAGAGAGTCGGGGCTGGCGGGGGTAGCGAGGCGCCAGGAAGCGGATCGGCGGCTGCGGCGCTCTCGGGGAGCAGGGCTGGTGTCGCTGGTCGCGGTTTTGATCTGTGCACAGGGCTGGTGGCCGGAGCCCGTATCCATTCCTACCGGCAGCTCCCGGGTCACAGCCCCGAGCTCCTCGTACGCGCTGCTAAATGTCCAGAGAGCTGCGGATGCCAACGGGGTGGCTGTTGGTGACGGGAGACGGTCTTTCCGCCGTCCTCTGGCTCTCCGGACCCCATCATGGGAAGCGGCTCTGTATTCCTGGGTCCTGGCGGACACGGACTCATTGACACTGTCGTCTTCAGAGATTTCAGGGGATTCTCTTAGAAACAAAACTCGGTTAATTGGTTCTACGGCAGAGCAAATTAGCACCCCTATGAAAACATGGCTTTTCATTCCTACACAGAGCGCAGGCTTGCGACAGAATGCCTGAGTGCAAAGTGATTTATACAGCACAGGGCAGCGCAAATCTGGGCATCCTGCAGTCAGTTGCCATGTGTGTCCCTAGCTTCTCTTGAGGCATCGTCTCCTGGTTACTCTGATCCACTCCAGGCAGGAGCCGCGATTCTCTGGTTCATGAAGATCTTTCTCTTTGGATAGGAGGAGGGGTTCTTGCCTTGCCTGGAGTGTGGAAAAGACAGAGAGTAAGGGTCCGCAAGATTTGGAGTGTCACTCGTCAAGGATCTGAACACTACATCTCGGACGTGTTCTGAAGAAGCTGTGAAGGCAGACAGTGCGAAGGAGCGAGGTGCAACCAAGCCAGACCAAGCGTTAGAGGTGGTGAGAGAGGAAAGCAAAGCAGTAAGAAAGGAGAGACCTCCAGCCATGTGGCCCTGGCCTCAGGAAGGATGGTTGCAGGACCATCCTTCATTAGCCTCTCAGTAAAAATGCAGAATTCTCAGCTTCCTCTAAATGTGTTATCTCTCCTCTGATACTTAAGATGGTAGAAAATTTTCAGGAGCACACAGGCATAAGGAGGGTGAACTCGATAATGCTCTTCCACCTGGGAAGCATGTGAAAGCCTCTGTTTCCTGTGGTGTGATGGGTGCCTGGGATCCCTCTGGACTTGGTTTAGGGAAGGGGCTGGGTGTAAGGGTCTCCATCTGCCAAGCCCCCAGACCTTCAACTGCCCTGGGTGGGCCAGGGCTCTCCTAGCCCCACCACTCGCAAGCAGCACTCTGGCAGTTGCCCCATGTGCTCCCTGCATGTGCGTCAGGGTCTTCATCCTGTTCCCTGCTCATCCCTCAGTACATTCCCTAGGGCATATGCTCTCCTTGCCATCGCTGGAGCTGGGATATCCAGCAGCCCTGCTGGAGCCACGTTCCTCTCAGACTTTGCGTTTTCGCAGAAGAGAAAGGCAAATCTAGAGACACTGGGCTGCTGCCCAGCAGGGCTCATCTCCCTTTCCCGGGGAGCTGGGAGAGAGGCATTCTTCCCAGGCAGATGAAGAAGGACAGGGGAAAAGCCACAGAAGCGGAGGAGACACGTGTTCCCCGAGGAAGCTGCAAGCAGCCCAGAGAGCTGAGGACAGCACGGGAAGATGTGAAAGGTGCAGAAGGGTAGAAGCCGGGAGCTCCCAAAAGCACATCAGCGGGTGTGCAGCAGAGCAGGTGATTGTAACTGGGGATGGGAGGACTGCACTGCGAGCTGACCGGGAACAATCTCTGCTCATGAGTGAGACCCCAGAGCCAGGCAATGCTCAGAATGCCATCGGCTGGGGGAGCCAGACGGGCTGTTGCTTGGGGAGGGAGAAACCCAAAGAGAGTATTTGAGGTACTGAAAGTACAGTTCATTTCTCGGCCCTCCTGCTTCCTTTGCTCCCCCTCTAAGAGATTCGTTTCTGGCAGCTCTCTTCTCTCGGCACAGGGTGGAGATTTCTGACACTCTCGGCAAACAGGCAGGTTCGTCTCAGCATGAATTTTGGCTACCTCGACGTCACTTTCTACCTGGTACACCTCCTCTCTATATCCCAGCTTTTCATAAATGCATTCTTTTTCCTCCCAGGAAATAGTCAACTGCCTTTTCAGGCCCCGTGGGGAATACAACTGAATAGAGAAACATCGCTGCAGATCATGTACTTGCTGTCCTTCATGTGTTCACTCCAGGCGATCTTACTTCTCTAAAGAAATAAAGAGGGAAAGAAGTGAAAGTTCAGACCTCCTTCTCTCTCTCTGCTCTCCACTTCAGCTTCGCTATCCCTCTCCGTCTGTCCTCTCCTCCACATGCTGCCACCAAAAGATATCTCGGCTCTCTCTGCAGTCACACATTTCTCCTTTTCTAAAGAAAATCAGGAGATCATTCCAAAGTTGCTCCAGGTCAATCAAACTCTTATCTCACTAACTTTATTAATGCATCCCTTTCAACCTGCAGGCTGCCTCTGGCACGACTTCCAGTTTTCCCCGGCTGGCAACATATTCAAATCTCTCTGTTTGCAGTGGGCCATGGCTTACGGGGGTTTCGATACACCGGGAGACCGATCGACGTCTGTGGGGAGCGGAGCTGTCAGCAGGAGCATTTCTGCTGGAGACAAATAGCACCTTAGTTTTAGACTTGGGCTGTGGACCAGTTCTACGCTGAAGCAGTGCATGGGTGAAACACCTGCCCATGAGAAATCACGGCATGGCATCTCCCACCCGCTTTGGACCAATGGAGATACAGTCTCCGTGATGAGATCCCAGTTGTGTCACTTCTGCTCAGAAGACTAGGGAACACCTGAAATATGTATGCTTGTCCTGAAAACAGAGAGCTCTAACTATTTGGGCAGCCTGGAGAAAACTGGAGGT